CCGGCTCGACAACAGGTCGTAAAGTTGCCGGACCCTTACGGGCCCCCAGTCGATGTCCGGCGTAATGGTAGAAATAAGCAAGACCAGCTTGCAAAATTGACGGTAAAACCCAGTGGGTTGGAGGGCGTGTGGGGTATCATTCCTCCAGATGTTACGGGGGAGAACCCCAAGGAGTGACGAGGCCGCCCAGTACAGAGAAAAAAATCTCCAAGGAGGACCATCGTCACTCAACAAAACCCTAAACCCACTGGCAAAGAAAGCGTCACATTTGTGACGAATATTGGTGACCCCAAGGCCACCATTAGCTAAAGTCTGGACAAGGGCTGACCTTTTTACAAGTTCAGTCTTGCCAGACCAAATAAACGAAAAAATGGCCCGGTTAATAACCCTCTCTACCGAAACCGGCAGAGGATAAACCGGGGCCAAGAAAAACAACGGAGTTAAAATCAAGGTGTTGACCAGCAACACCTTGCCTAAAAGAGAGAGCATTCTCCCTTTCCACATGTCCAAAGTGGACTGCAGATTGGGGATCCGCTCTCTCCAATTCATAGGGCCCATGTCCCCACCGCCCACCCAGACACCGTTGATTTTAATCGGGTCTCTGGTCCACTGGATAGGGACCTCGTCGGGAAGGCTGTCGGGCCATGAGCCAAAAATCAAGCCTTTGGACTTGGCGAAGTTAAGGCGAGACCCGCTCGCACGAGAAAATGCATCAATGATGCCAAACAACCGCCTCACCGATCTGAAATCCCGAACTATGCAGGTAGTGTCGTCTGCGTACTGCAGAACCCTGCATTCGAGACCACTGGCCCCGGGGATTTTCAGACCGGTGAGACGGCAATCTCTAACAATAGTTTGAGCAAAAGGCTCAATAAAAAGCACATACAAAAGAGGGGAGAGGGGGCAACCCTGCCTCACTCCCCTCGTGACTAAAAAGGGATCCGACAAAGATCCATTGATAAAAATGGCACTGGATATGTCTGTATATAGCAGCTCTATCCAGTGCCGGAAATTAGGTCCAAAACCAAAACGGTCAAGGACCTTAAAAAGAAAGTCCCAATTGACCCTGTCAAAGGCCTTCTGCTGGTCAAGGGAAATAACAAGGCAGTCAAGGTTCTTTCCATCCACGAATGCTACCAGGTCCCGAAGGAGTCTGATATTATCATGGATGGACCTCCCCTTGACGCCACAAGTTTGGAACTGACCGACAATGTCGGGCAACACCCGACCAAGGCGGAGGCACAAGGCCTTCGACAGGATCTTGTAATCTACATTGAGAAGGGATATGGGGCGCTTGTTCCTAGGATCAAGCGGATCCCCTCCCTTCTCTAAAAGTGTGATGATTCCCAATCGCTGAGAATCACCTAGACTATTTACAGAAAAGGCGCAACGGAAGACCCCCAGAAGGTCGGGACCGACCAAATCCCAGAACTTCACGTAGAATTCCTTGGGCAGGCCGTCCCCACCAGGAGTCTTACCGTTGGCCATGCTACTTAAAGCCGCATCAAGTTCCGACAGCTCAAGTTGGCTGTCCAAATCGATGCGGCTCTCTTCGTCTAGAAACGCCGACAAAGAGTCTAAAAAAGGAGATTGCAAATCGACCTCCACAGGCTCGTCTGAAAACAAATCGAGATAAAAATCTCGATAAACAGCGGCGATCTCCTCTGGAGAGGAAACAGTGTCCCCTCTGGGACTGTAAACGGAAGAAATGATTTTCTTCCGAGCCTGGGAGGTTTCTTTTTGGTAGAAGTATTTGGACGGCTTCTCCCCTTCATCGAGGTCACGAACCCGCGAGCGGACTCGAGCCCCCTCCGCTTCGAAGTCGTCCAGTTCGGAAATTGCACTCCTAATATTTTCATGCCGAGCAAGAACTTCAGGAGTGGAGTGCCCGGCATTAAGTTCTGAAACGACGGAGCGCAGGGCAGCCAAAAGTGACTCCCTGCGCCTCCGTCTACTTCTAACTTGTCTATAAGAAAAATGGAAATAAATCGCCTAATGCGGGACTTGACGTCCTCCCACCAGAGGAGTTCGTTTCCGTACCCCTCTTTGAGAGATCGCCAGCCCGCATAAGCTTCTCTAAATTCCCTTTGAAAGCCAGCGTCGGCCAGGATGGAAACATTACATTTCCAATAACCCCGACCGGCGCCAGCAATCTCCGGGAGATTAAATTGCAAAACAACACCGTCATGGTCGCTAAAGTAGCATGGCGAATGCAGGCAAGACACCACGTCGACCGAACTGGACGCGTAAATACGATCCAGCCGGCTCGACACCGTGTTCGCCGCATTGCGCCATGTAAAAGAAATTTCTGACGGATTGAGAGACCGCCAGCAGTCGCTCAAAGAAAAATCGTCTATGAGATGGCCCAGCTCGCCGGACCCAATCCCACAAGATGTGGAATCAGAACCACGGCGATCTAGGTCCAAATTTAAAACACAATTAAAATCTCCCGTAAGAATTACGGGAAGATGTCCCGTCAGACGGGATGCAACTTCCGTGAAGAAGAGACGACGCGTCCTGGGGTCGGTAGGGGCATAAACAGTGCAAAGTCGCACTCCCCTCCCTCCTCCAGGAGCGCGCAAAATACCAGAAACGACCCTCCCTTCGGAATCAAAGGAAGGATCGGAAAAAACAAACGGACTTCTGGCAGGCAGGAGGATGATGGTGCCTCGGGAAGAGGAAGTGCCAAAACTGGCAAACATCTTCCCCTTCCACTCTGCCCGCCAAGAAGCTAAGTCATCATTGCCGGCAATATGACACTCCTGAAGACAAGAAATGTCATACCCCCGGCAAAGACTAAAAATCCGTCTCCTCTTCACTGGATCACGCATCCCATTCACATTTAGTGTGAGAATGGCGACCATGCCGAGTGTATAAAAAATTACTCGGGCGGATCACCCTTAGGGGATCCGTCCTTTGTTTTGCTAGGTGAGGGAGGGGGTTTTGCAACCCTCTTCCCTCTGTCTGAGTCTGAAGACGACTCAGACAGGTTAACTGATGCCGCCCCACCCGGGATGGATGGCGCGGCACTAGAGGAGGGTGCGGCCTTAGCCTTACCCTCCTCCATCTCCGAACCGGAGGAAAACCCTGGCCCCGTGCTCTTTTTCGGGGCCACACACGAAGAGGCCGAGTCCGAACCAGAAGAAGTACTTCTGGCCCTCTTCTTCTTCAATTTTCTCTTCTTCCCCTCTACTGGGGAAAAAGGAATTGCTTTCTCGATGGCCGCTGCCTGGCATTCGATGTCATCACAGACCACCACTGGTGGTCCGTTGACGCCAGTACAGTCGGCACAACCGACCCGATTCGTGAGTGTGCCTCTGGTGATCTCACGACCGCAGTGGAAACATGCCCACGCGGTCGGAGCCTCCAGAGACCCACAAACCCTCGCGCAGCGCAAACACGCTGCTCGAGGCAGTTCAAAGGTGGCTAGAGTCGGAGCCTCCGAGTCCGATGTGTCGGACTTCGAAGACTCAAACTCGTCCGAGTCGGAGCTCTCCACCCCCGTCACATCCACAGCTGTGGATGCGGTAGGAGGCGAAGGAGGCTCCGACTGGCTAGGTTGTGCAGGGGCAGATTTCCCCTGCACAACTACGTCAGCCCACCGTTTGGTGGGCTTCACTTTGTTAGCGAAAGACTTGGGGCACTTCTGAAAGTTGTGCCCCTCGTCCCCGCAAAACGTGCACTTAACTCGGTTGGGGCACTCAGACGAGAGATGCCCCAACTTTAAACATTTGTAGCATTTAACTGCCTTACAGGCAGATGCTACGTGGGCTTGGTCTCCGCACCGGGCGCAAGTCCGGGTCTGGCCAGTGTAGCCAACCCAGGCATTGCGGTTCCCGATGCGGAGAACCGAGGGAATGTTTTGGACACCCGACATAAGGTATTGTCGTGTGCCCGTAAATACGGAGGGCTCTTCGGGGTAGGTCTGAAACCTACCCTTATGAACCCTCCCGTATCTAGAGAGGATGGATCGGACGACGTTATCGTCCAGATCCACCTCGACAAACTTAACAGAAACCAGCTTGAGGGTGCCGTGTGAAAGCACATGGCACCCTTCAAGCCGGTCTAAATGCGGTAAAAACCGCTTGGCTTGGGCGGCAGATTTGAACGTTACGTCAAATCTGCCACCCGGCAACGGCTGTAAGGCCTCAAGATGGGCCGCGGGGGAAATCCCCACGCCTTTGAGCGCCTTAAACGCGTCACTAGGCGCCCCCTTGCCGTCAAATTTGACTTCAACGGCGCGGAGGCGCCGAGCTTCGTATGTCTTGGAAGACATATTGAAGCGATCCCCAAAATAAACCGTCCAACTAGGACCAAGAAAGAAAAAACAAAAGAATGGACACCGAAACTAACTTGTGTCGATGTCCAAACTAAGGGATGGTAGCAAACTGCCTACCAGTCCCACAGAAATATATAATACAGATACCGATACAAACTTGTATCGGTAATAAATTATTTATTATATACAAAAAGAGTGAGTCACAACTGCTGACTCACTCAACAAGAAGATAAATCACAGGTAGCAACTGCCTACCTGTGATTAAGAAAGAAAAATGAACGCGGAGGCCAGGCCCCGCAGACCCGAAATTCCCCACCGGTGTAGTGCAGAGAACCCCGAGCCTACAGGCCCGCAATACCCGCGCTACGGCTCGCTCCCCGCTGCCGACCCACCACCTAGTGTAACGGCGGTAGCCGGCTGCGTAACGGGTCACAAGCCGCAGCACAAGCACACGGGTCCCAACCCCGCAAACACTAAAGAAAGGAAAAATTCCCCCAACAAAGGACTTCACGGGGCTATGCACACGCACAGCCCCACCCAAATGAATAGGGCCGTGCACGCTGCCACGGCCTAAACAAAGAAACGCGTAGAAACGAATGGGCCGTGCACGCTGCCACGGCCCAAACAAAAGACGTGTACAAATGAATAGGCTGGCGTGTACAGCACTGCGTACACAGCCAGCAACGAAAAACCAACACGAAAAACACCCAAAATAACAACAAAAATGAAACAAAAATCTGTAAAAACTAGACCTACTTGGTCTATAAACTAAGACGAAAAGGTAGATACAAAAATTATCGACTAACGCGATCTAAAAACTTGATTTTCTTCGAAGACAACCCGGAGCTCCGGGGAGGCGTGGCTGTCTGAAAAGAACAGATACTACACATGATCTTAGCCAAAAGGCCGAGAAGCGATAACGATTAATATTAAAACAATAGCGCGGAAAGGGATTATTCGTCTTGAAATACTGTTTGCTATTGTTCTTCTTATTATTTATTTTTGCCTTTTTTTGTTTCCTGGTGTGAAAACAAAAAGAAGACTCCTGCGCGTCCACCGCAACTCAACGAAACCCGGGGAGAGAGAGATGAGCAAGAAATCTCCGGCTTTCTCAGATTAACAGAGACATATACATTCTTAAAAATATTTCTATCATGCATTTTCATACACCTCGATCATATTTCACCAAAAATCTTGTTGAAAAAATTAATCCAGACAAAAAATGGGATCAATGCATCAGTGAGCGAGAGCGTCGGCACTAAATGCCGTACGTACGATGTACCGGGACAAGCATATCAATAGATGGCGCCCTTCAACACTCCCGGTCATCGCGCCTCGGCGTTTCCCATCTGGGTATTTCTCAGGCCCTGCCAATGGGTCCCACATTAGGGGCGGGGAAATACTTCAGTTTGTCAGTAAGCTCCGTGGCCGAGTGGTTAGAGAGCACATGTAGAAAGTAATAGATCGTGGGTTCGAGTCCCAGCCTGCCGCTTTCCTTTAATTGCTTGGTTATTGTTTTTTGTTTTGTTATTTTTTCACTTACTTATTTCCCCTTTTTGTAATAATTACTATTTTATTTCATTGATTTATTGTTTATTTCGTCATGAAGTTATAAGAAGAAAATTCGAAAGAAAAGAAAACATTCGTCATACCGTTTGCATTTGCGCTTATAATACTTATGTATCAATATCAATGCGGTCCCGCGGGGAGTTAATTGAAGAGAGAAAGAAAGAAAAGAAACAAACGGGAATCAAATGTCAACGCACCATTATTTGTCCATTTTTGTAACCTTTGGTGAATAAGTCATTCACATTCTACATGAGGCAACATTTAAGACAATACATATACATACATGTATGGCTAATGTACTCAGCCGGCCGGCCGGTCACATACGTTAAAGGACACAGTGGGAATTCTATCTGGAACAGTGTTCTATTGTTTATAAAAAAAATAGAGAAATTGATTTCGGCTATGAGTGAAGGTAGAGGTGGAGTTAGACAGGCAGCGACAAATCTCTTTTTTGAAGGTTGTGGTGGCTCTGAAAAGAGCCTTTTGGGTTTGTGGATGCAAAGTAAGTTCTTTTCTTTACTTTGACACTTTGGCGGTCTTCTTGGGCAGAAGAACTTGCTGGATGTTGGGAAGGACACCACCCTGCGCGATGGTAACTCCGCTCATCAACTTGTTCAACTCCTCGTCGTTGCGTATAGCAAGCTGCAGATGGCGGGGATTAATTCTCGTCTTCTTGTTGTCTCGTGCAGCGTTTCCGGCCAGTTCCAAGATCTCCGCGGTAAGGTACTCCATCACTGCCGCAAGGTAGACCGGTGCACCGGCACCGACACGCTGGGCGTAGTTGCCCTTACGCAGAAATCTGTGAACACGACCCACGGGGAACTGGAGTCCCGCCCTGGAGGACCTGCTCTTGGCCTTGCTTCTTGCTTTGCCGCTCTTTCCTCGCCCAGTCATCTTGACAGTATAGTGACAGAAGATGAATGTACTCTGCAGTAAAGGTGGTGTGTGAATGAACCCACTTGGAAAACACGACACTAGTTATAGCGTTCTGGTGGATTGGCTGAAGCGTGCCAAGTAGCCAATCACGCGACACGGGCGTGCCCGTCGCACGGTTGGGTGCACCGCATCCATTTTGGACGCGGGGGACGAGGGAACAAAAAATTACAACTGTGTCATCGTCGTTCAAAGTAATGGAATCACTAGATAAAACACAGAAACATGCAACATTCTTACCTCCATTTTAAGACGTTTTATTGTTATTCCGCCGAAGAAGTCCCATGATCTTTCGACCAGCCTCCGCACAATGGCAGTGATTCGTTGCTCTCACGCGGCGGTTAAAACTGGCCTCGGTTTCTTGCTAGATATTTGTAACATCCCACAGACGAAATCCTAATTTATTTTTTAATAGTAACCCACTCAACAAAATGCAAGCACTCGTCCGGAGATTGAAAGAAATGACCAATTGACAAAGGCTGTGGCATAAATTAAATTATGTGTTTACGACGACGACAAGACTCAGGGATTAACTTTAATCGCATTACCTCCCCTCGCCTCACGAAGGGTAAAAGAATATTAAAAAAAAAAGAGAGAGAGTGAAAGGGACACAACAGAATAAAAAAAGGTTAGTTGTAAAACCTAAGAAATGGGCTGATCGGGCGAACTGAGCTGACTGGCAAATCTCTTTTTGGAAACTGTGTTGGCTCTGAAAAGAGCCGTTTGGTTTTGAAGCCTTCAAAATTTCTATTTTGAAGTCGTGTACTTGGTGACGGCCTTGGTGCCTTCGCTGACTGCATGCTTAGCAAGCTCCCCGGGAAGAAGTAGGCGTACTGCTGTCTGCACTTCACGGCTTGTGATGGTGGACTTCTTGTTGTAGAGAGCGAGGCGAGAAGATTCGCTGGCGATGCGCTCAAACACGTCGTTGACAAAGCTGTTCATGATGCTCATTGCCTTGCTCGAGATTCCGGTGTCGGGGTGCACCTGTTTCATCACTTTGTAGATGTAGATGCCGTAGCTCTCCTTGCGACGCCGGTGCCTCTTTTTGTTTGCGCTAACCGGACCCTTAGTATTTCCGGCCTTCTTCTGACCTTTTCCGCTAACTTTGGGAGCCATATTGGAGGACTTGGAATGTATCGGATCGTGAGATCGAATGAAAGACCAGCACGTCTTGGCCGGCTTTTATTGTGCACAGCTTGGATTCTGACCACCCATGCATCGTCCACTTTCCCGCCAGTGACCGCTTACCCATGCGTGAAGAAAGCGGTATGCGTGCATAGTTATACAATGCACGCACGGCACGACCCCCCCCCCCCCCCCCCTCCCCGGCAAGGGTATTTTTAGCCTTTTTCTCAGACTGACACGTGTATAAGTGTCCTTCTTAAATATTATTGTCTACTGAATTTCTGGGAAATAATAAAGTCATCTCCAGCGGAGGGCGAATTAATATGTCGTAGTGCACCAATACTTCTTTAAATGTTGTTTCCCCCTTATGCACCATCCATTTATAATGAATCATACAATGTAACGCAAAACCGACGAAAATAAGAGAACGAGTACCTGTAATTGTCAAAACAGATAGGAAATATATATCATTATTACCATGCCCATAACAATTCAATTTTGCCTGGAACACGTTTCGGATGAGGCATACGTATAGAACCCAAAAAGTGGAATGTATTTGGACAGAATATCAACAATAATAATTCGGAAAAAAATCAACGGCCCTTTATTCTTTATTTGAAGGAAAACTCAGGGATTGGACTTAATCTCTCTTTGAAGAAGTAGTGGCTCTGAAAAGAGCCGTTAGTTTTATTTCTTTTTGCGCACACAACGTGCTCAAGCTCGTTCACCCCGAATTCGGCGGGCCAACTGGATGTCCTTGGGCATGATGGTGACCCTCTTGGCGTGAATGGCGCACAGGTTGGTGTCTTCGAAGAGGCCGACGAGGTAAGCTTCGCTCGCTTCTTGCAATGCCATGACGGCAGAACTCTGGAATCGCAGTTCAGTTTTGAAATCCTGTGCAATTTCACGCACAAGTCTCTGGAATGGCAGCTTTCGGATCAGCAGTTCGGTGCTCTTCTGGTAGCGGCGAATCTCACGGAGGGCGACGGTTCCCGGTCGGTACCGATGGGGTTTCTTGACACCGCCAGTCGCCGGTGCGCTCTTGCGGGCCGCCTTGGTGGCCAACTGCTTCCTGGGGGCTTTCCCCCCGGTGCTCTTTCTTGCCGTCTGCTTGGTGCGCGCCATGGTCAAGGGTATGGTTTGATGAACGGTGATCACAACTGAGTGCAGATTGAGCGAACGGACCCCGCCTCTTAAGGCCGGCGCATAGCATCCTAGGTTGGAAGCCTAACAATGGGCTATCTTCCGATTGGGTGCTTCGGGGGCCAAGCGGAGACGCTTCAGTGATCACGATTTCCGTACGTTGAAAAAGTATAGACGTTAAATTTCAATCGAAAATGCTGCTTTTCCGAGCCTATAGTATTATGAGCCCTCGGCAACAGAATCCATTTGGGATCGTTGAGACTACAATATTTCTCCCACCCCCTACTTGGGATTAATTGAACCCCAATAAACACCCCCTCCCCCACCCCTAAAAGAAAAGTGACAAACATACGGATTTCCCTGGCTGCTGTTTATGTTTGTTTTGTAGTAAAGACAATAATCACACACACCCATTCGCGAACAAAATTGGCTGCTGTTTATGTTTGTTTTGTAATAAAGACAATAATCACACACACCCATTCGCGAACAAAATGTCACGGATCCCTCTATACGTTCCCCGCTATATCCTGAGACGAGCACCCAGTAATTATTACTTAATCGACTTTGACAAAAAAATGGAGACCAGACATGTTTTACAGTGGAAATAGGGAGGGGAAAAGCAACTCTAAGAACACACATGACAAGGACAAGTGAAATCGAGTAAAATCAAGATTCAATCTCTTTTTTGAAATAGTGGTGGCTCTGAAAAGAGCCGTTCGGTTTGATTTTTGGATATGGTGTCTAGCCGCCGAAGCCGTACAGCGTGCGTCCCTGTCTCTTCAGCGCATACACCACGTCCATTGCAGTGACAGTCTTCCTCTTGGCGTGCTCGCAGTAGGTGACTGCATCGCGGATAACGTTCTCCAGGAAAACCTTGAGGACTCCGCGGGTTTCTTCGTAGATGAGCCCGGAGATACGCTTGACTCCTCCGCGGCGGGCCAGCCGACGAATGGCTGGTTTAGTGATTCCCTGGATGTTATCTCGGAGAACCTTGCGGTGTCGCTTGGCACCCCCTTTGCCTAGTCCCTTTCCTCCTTTGCCACGGCCAGACATGTTTGTGTCTCCTCAGTCGGTTGTAGATGATTCAATGGCCATCCCAGCCCCGGCGAGGCAACTTATAGGACATGCGCGGACGCGATATGAGCATG